AACTGTAGCCCAGCAGGCCACCGTAGCTGAAGCTGCTTGAAGCAAGTCTTCACACATTGCTCCTTCCAGTTTCGTTTGAAATGAAGCAGAAATGCTATTGATGCTTCTGTGATCTACATAACATTTTCAACAGCATTGCTGGACTCACTGGACTCAGATGTAGTGATGTGCTTAGAAGCAGAACTAAAGCAAACTACAATCATCTACACATCACTCAGACACAAGTCCAAACTTCACTTTAGTGGGTAACTTTTCCTGAAGTCTTACATGCCATGAAAGCCCAGGGAGGAAAGATTTAAGTGTTCTTATGACACAGAAAGCGGAGAATGGCTGTGCTATTGAGTGTGCATACAAGCTGGGTGGAAACCAGGAAGGAATAAAGAGTTTCAGAATTGGGGGATGCAAGAGCCTAAGACACCTCAGACACAGACACTTCAGGCCAGAGCACAGCACTCAGGTCTTTACGTTCACTGTCCAGTGCTGTGATACAACACCAAGGTCAAAAGCAAGTTGGAGAGGAAAGGGCTGATTTCATCTTACAGCTAATAACCCATCATGGAGGGAAGTCAGGGTAGGAGCTCAAGGCTGGAACCTGGAGGCAGAACTGAAGCCGTGGCCATGGAGGAGTGCTGCTCACTGGCTTGTTCCGCTTGCTTTTCATACAACCCAGGACCTCCTGTACAGGGGTAGCACCACCCACAGTGGGCTGGGTCCCCCACATGAACTCAATCATTAGTGAAGAAGACGCCCCACAGGCTTGTTGATGGCCAATAGAAGCGTTTTCTCAATCGAGGTCCCCGCTTCCCAGGTGGCTCCAGCTGTGTCCAGTTGACAAAAGGGAAGCAGCACACTAGGAGACAGGTGTGGGTTAGTAGGAGTTAAAAAATGCCATCTAGGGCTGGAGAGATGGCCCAGCGGTTAAGAGCATTGGCTGCTCTTCCAGAGGACCTGGGTTCAATTCACAGCACCCACATCATGGCTCACAACCATCTAGAGTGGGATCTGACACCCTCTTCTGGTGTAAAGCTGTACATTCAGATAGAACACTCATATATGAGAAGAGGGCATATATACAAATAATATATATTAATAAATATATTACCAATGTATAATATATTAAATATATAGTAAATCTTTAAAAAAATACCATTAATCTTTCATGTTTCTAAGAACTTCTGCACTTGTCAAAGAAAACACAAACAGTAAGGGGGTCTAAAGGAAAGATGCCCTTAAATATGACTCGAACAAGTATTTAGAATTCTGCAGGCTTGGAGGACAGATCTGGACATGACCTGTGCTAGAAGCCAACCCCGAGCACTTCCAGTTGTGGCCAGCTCTCAGCTGTATGCCTGGTTTTATAGTATAGTGTGTGCTGGGGGGAGGTGTCTGCTTTTATCTAGATATAGTTAAATTTTTTAAGTTCCAGATTCTGTCTTTATAATCTCCCCAGAACTTCTCAGAAAGCCCAAAGGCCACATTTACAGACTAGATGCTGAGCAGGATTGGAGGGAAGCAGGCCCGCCTGAACTTCAGGCTCTCCCTCTTACTGTATCAGGCATGCTGTTAATCTTCGGATAGTTATTGTGCAGTCTAATGATCCATCCTGGATTATGAAAACCAAATCCCTACATGACACACTCATAAACAGCTTTGTAGGCTGGTTTTAGCTTCCTCATTTCATCATCAGAGACACTTGAAGTTCATAAAGATCCTCCAGTGCGTCGTTAGAACCCTCATCTAAACAAGCACTACTGAGCAACTCAAACCAACGGGGGATTATCCAGAGAGGAAAAGAGCAAGGCTATTCATTGTGCTTTGTTTGAACTGGCGGATGAGAAGTACCATCATGAAAAATTGATAATGTGATGTGACACACAGAAGGCTTGGTGACAACAACAAATAGAACTCCCAACTCCAGTATTGACATGCTATAATGTCACTGATTACTTAGCCATTCTTTATAGCTTTTCTGGAGTCTTTCTGGGTGGCTGCTTACATTGCTTGACATTTGCCTCAAGAGGAATACTACTCATCTATGGAATTCCTTGTGGTTCACAGAGCATTTCTCAACAGCTCTTCACTTGCTGCTCATAATGCATCAAGGTATGCAGAATTGCAATCACTACCAACAGTATATGGATCTGTGCAGAGGAAAAAGACCACGTCACACATGAAGTGCTTTCAAGCTAGCACTATTGAGGCAGGGCATCTTTCTTTCTTCCAGACTTCTGGGATAAAACACTGTGAGTGTGTATGTGTGTATGTGAGCATGCATGAGCATGAGCAAACACACACACACACACACACACACACACACACACACACACACACACACAAATAAAAACTGTTTAAGATACCTTGCCTCATAAAAATGACCACCATAAGTGCTGGATATGATGCCACATTCCTATCATCCCAGAATTTAGGAGGCCAGGCAGAAAGATCATGAGTTTGAAGCCGGACTGAGTTGCAAAGTGATTTCCAGGCCAGCCTGGAAAATGGCAAGCTAGAAAATGGGTCTCAAAAATCCCAGACCAAACCAAATCAAAACAAACAAAAATTCAAATGTATTCCTGGTACTCTTTTTGGGATGGGTTAAAATGCATAGGAATCATTTATGTTAGCAGGCAAGTATAAAACACACCAATTCAGTTTGCTGAGAAAATAAAGTAAGGAGTTATATTGCTTCACAAAAAGACCATAAAATGGACTGTTTTAAAGAACCAAATTCTTCAGCAATTTTAAAATAGATCGATTCATGAAAATCTGATTCATATTAAAAACAACCTTCATGAACACATCTGTTATATAACTCTATGCTCACCTGTACTATGTGGAGAACAAAGAGTGATAATAACATACTCATATATAGTTCTCATTACATATTTTAAAGAGATTTCCACTAATTTATTGCATTTGTCTCTGTCAACATTTTAAAACAGGCAAAGACAGTGTTATTTTTTCTGTACAGATGAGAAATTGAGAGGTTAAGTGGCTTGCCCAAGGTCAGACAGACACTCATTCATTCGCTGCTCTGACTGATGTAGTTTTAACGGGGTAACAGAGGAAGTAAGGTTCTTCCTCCTGTTTTTTTTTTTTTTTTTGAACAGCTGTGAAGGCTATTAAAACAGAAGTAGATGATCTCACAAATACAATGCTGAATGAAAAAATCCAGACACAAACGTGGACATACTGTACGAGTGAATTAGTGTAAAATTCAAATGCGGACAGAGCTAACTCACAATGACACCAGTCAGAATGGTGGCTGTCTTTGGGATGGGTTTTGGAGATGGGGGGAACAGAAACGTTCAAGCTATCGGTCTGACTTGCACATTAGTTCATTTGTGAGGAATCACTGAGATTTACAACAGCATTTAACCAGTTTGCATACTAAAGAAATGCTCACTTGAAGCAGTAATTTACACTTTTGAAAGAGATCATCTATAAATTCACTTTAGACGATCATTAAGCCCACAAATCCTTGGGACATTTGTGATTTCATTTACATTTCTTGGCTGCATCTAGAAAATGAGACATGAACTCATCTGAAGACTGTAAAGAGAGACGGAAAGGTTTACAGAAACTGTGGTCAATATTTATCTGCATTTGAGAATGTTTTTATGAGATGGGAAATAGAAGCATAGCAAGAACGCATTATAATAATTCATTTGGGGCTGGGCACAGCACTGATATTTAAGGGCTCGAATCAGGAGGGGAGATGGCGTAGTGGGGCAGGGATCTAGCCTATGTAAGGTCCTGGCTTCGATCTCCGGCACTCCAAGAACATAAATAAAAATAAAACAAGAAACTGCCAGAAAGTGAGATTATGTATGGTTCCTCTAATCCATCCTGGGGAATAGATAAACAGTTAGGGAAAGCAAGAATGGAATTCTCCAGAGCACCCGTTTAACTCCAGAGTACTCCATATGTTTAGGGTCCCCCACTAAATGCAAGAGTGGAGAGCGGGAGCCAGTGAGAAATTAGTCTGCACAGACTCAGGGTATACAGGGCTTCCGAGGATGCCACGTAGATTTTGATGTAGGAATGAATGAAATGAGTAGATTTTGATGCGTCTCCAGGACAGAAATTATAGGTGCCTAAAACAATTTCAGAATTTATATCCTGCTCTTCCAGGGATTCTTCTTTCACTCTGAGTCTGCAGCACCATGAGCTAATGCTGTCCTGTCCCTCCATTCGGGTACCCCTGATGCAGCACCATGAGCTAACGCTGTCCCTCCATGCGGGTGCTACTGATGATAAATATTTTATCATTTTCTTTTAAAATACTCTGGACCAAATATATATCTTGCTCATACAGGTCATGAATAGAGCAATTTCCATGTGGTGGGTATGGCTTGGTCCCGGGAGCTTTCACTCCATCACTGGTCAGCTCCACTTGCAGAGTGGATATATGGTTTCTATGGATATATAGTTACTGTGGTTTGAGTAAGACCATTCTTATTCATTCCATAGGCTCAGGCTCATGTATTTGAACGCTCAGAACTCTTTGAAAAGATTAGAAGGTTCAGGAGGTGTGGCTTTGGGGAGGAGTGGTCTTTGAAACCTCAGGCCAGGCCCAGTCTCTCTCTTTCTCCTCTCTCCCCCTTCTCCCCCCCTCTCTCTCCTGCCTGTGGATCTGAATGTAGTTCTCAGCTCCTCCAGCACCATGTCTGCCTCTATGCTGCCATGCTTCCCACCATGATGACAATGGACTAAACCCTGAACTGTAAGCCAGTCCCACTTAAGTGTTTTCCTTTATAAGAGTTGCTATGGTCATGGTGTCTCTTCACAGCAATAGAAACCCTAAGACAGTAGTCTTGTGATCCTCAGCAATTAGTAAGTAGGGACTGTTATTTTCTAATAAACTTTCATAAATTACTGATTCTGTTATGGGTCATACAAAAAGGTTGATTACTCACTCATAAACTTGACCACAGTTTTAATAACCCAGCTTTCTATTATTTTTATTAAAAAAAAAAAAACCAAACTGAGATACGTACCATCAAGCCTTGTTCTCCTGGTTTCCCTGGTTCACCCTTTAAAAAAATTAATAACAATGAGTAATTATAAGTATTTAAAATTTTTCAATATCTTCTTTTCCCCAACACTTTCTTGGTCATGTGAATGTCAAGTGCATTTTTAAAAAAGGTTAAATAGAATGTAAACATATCACAAAGAGCTGATTTGTCTAGACTGTCTGGCTAGCAGGCACCAAGGATCCTCTTGGCTCTGCCTTCCCTGTGATGGGCTACAAACTTGCTTGCTGTACTCAGCTTCGACATGGATGCGGGGCTTGAACTCTGGTCTTCAAGCTCGTGTGGTCCTTACTGAGCCATCTCCCAGCTCCCTTATCTTTGTCTCCTTACAGTCATGTCTAGCATAAATTTGTTTCTTCTATAATACATAATATTTGATGATCTGGGCATTTTTTTTTCTACCAATAACATGTTGGACCCTTGTTTCTTCATCTGGGCTCTTTTAAAAACAAGTTTCCACACTATTCTCTAGACCGGTAGAACTCACTGTGGAGCCCATGCTGGTTTTTAAAATACATCTTTAAAAATATTTATTTTCTATGTATGTGTATTTGGCCTGCATGTCTGTCTGTGCACCATGTGTGTTCAGTGTCCTAAGAAGCCAAAAGACAGGGTTAGCTCTTCTGGAACTCGAGTTACAGATGGGTGTGAGCCTCCACGTAGGTGCTGCGAATCAAACTCGGGTTCCATGGAAGGGCAGCCAGTGCTAACTGCTGAGCCATCTCTCCCGCCTGCCCACGCTGATCTTGAATTCGCAGCACTCTCCTGGCTCTGCCTCCTGAGTGCAGGCATCACTGAAATGACGCCTGCTATATACCACCGTGCCTGCTGGCAAATGTCTTTAACTGGTTATTTAACTGGGTATCTGAAGACAGCCACTGTGGTGACTAGCTGTCAGTGAAAGTTGTCAGTCCCCCAAAGCCATGGAAGGCTCTTCCCAGGAGCATCACTCTAAGAAAGCGGCAGACATTAAGCAGGTAGGGTTAGGATGAATTGAACACCTTCAAATGTTCAGGGAAAGCAGTCCCATGAGCAGCTGGGTCCAATCCTAATTTCACATGAGCAAACACACAGCCTTCAGAAAGGGAAGTGGGACTTTGGGGATGACTGCAAAAGAGATAAAAATGCCCCGTATCCTCACACATAGATTAATCCTTAGAAAAGCGATACAAAAATATGTGCATTAAAAATGCAAAGACAATGTACAATAACATTAACAGCTATTGTTGATTTCAGTCCCCCCCACCTTGGTTTTATTTTTAAGTATTTCTACTTGGTTAGAAAACATTCTCATCATTACTTTTGAACTAGAAAATCACCAATGGAAACAATTTAAGCAATACATTAAGTAAAATTTAACTCAGCAATAAACATTAATTTCTAGCCCTGGAATCACAATATCAACCCAGTCATTTTTTCAATCTTTTTTTTTTTTTTTTTTTGGTTTTTCGAGACAGGGTTTCTCTGTGTAGCTTTGAGCCTTTCCTGGAACTCACTTGGTAGACCAGGCTGGCCTTGAACTCACAGAGATCCGCCTGGCTCTGCCTCCCGAGTGCTCAGATTAAAGGCGTGCGCCGCCACCACCGCCAGGCCATTTTTTCAATCTTGTCTGTATATTTCTTTAAATTATTGGGCTGCATGTACCAGGTCATATCACTCATCAGTTATCAATGTCCCATGTTTTTGTTATTGCTATGACAAATTCTAGTGCTGAAATCATTTAAAAATGGTTTCTGTTAGATAAGCCTCAGATGCAAATGTCAAGTGATAATACCCTCTGGTGTTGAAGTTATTAATTTTTGTTTTGTTAACACCCTTAGCCAGGTCATCTGAAAGGGATCAATACTAATAAGCTCTACCTGCTTTCTGTTAGCAGCGTGGGGCTTTATTGTGTCCACTATTGGCCTTAAGGAAACACTGTCAATATTTGGCTTCATTTTTCTCACTAATAGCCCCCTTCACCCCAAAAAGGCAGTGACATACCCAACGGCAGGCAGGAGACAGGCAAGACTGGGCATCTCTCACTGTGAACTCCCTGAAGCTCACCTAAGATCCATCAGATGCCGTCCGTCGTCAGGTCTCCGGCTCTTCTTGGCCCAGTAATGAAGTGAATGCTGCTGAAGCGCCCTGCAGACACTGACTGTCCTCTGTTTCTACCTCCCCCCATCCTTCTCTAGTCACCTGACCTCTTGGCCCTACAGTCCCTTGCCCCCTGTTCCAGCTTACTGTTTACCCCTTAACCTGGAACAAAATCTGGGAGAACAACAATCCAGGAAGAAACTCACGGGTACTCCTGGCATTCCTCGGGGGCCATCCTTCCCTGTGTCCCCAGGTGGGCCTCTTGGACCAGGAGGGCCTGGGGGTCCTGGAGGCCCTGCCTGTCCTTGGTCACCCTGGAATGGAGGAAAGGAATGAACCAACAATAATCATGAGCAATTAATATTCAGGTTCTATTTCAGCACTTTAAATTCATATTATCCAATCTACATTTAAGATTAAAGAACCAGACCACCATAAATATGAAGCCCACTGGCAAGCTACCTGTCAGTAAGGAACAAATCTTTACTGTAGGAGAGCCAAATAGATGCTAAGAAACTGAAGCGGCTCTCAGCCTGGCAGTGCAGCTCTTGAAGTGCCCTGTTTATTACCACACCCAGAGGCGGATAAAGCCCTTGTTTAAGGGTGTCAATGGCAATGCTCTATTGGACACATTTACCATGACCAATGGGTGGCTGCATTTTCAGTTGGAAAATATATTTACTCACAGAATCAAAGATTAAGCATAATGGGCTCCTGCTCTATTGCATAACAAATGTATAATTTATCAGAGCCAGAGGGCTCGGGAACAATGTGTCTATTTCTATTGCTGGTTACAACTGAAGTTGTCTTGATTAAAAAACAAAACAAACCAGGCAGGCTTTCTATACTGTAAGTCACCAAACACGATCTTATTCTGGGATATTTACAGAGACCCACCCACCATCGATGCGCCATGCATGAGAGATAAATGCAAAGCAACAGCACCCAGAGCAATAATTGAACGCAAAGGAGAAATCAGACTCCAGCAGGAAGCAGCACTACCTTAATCAGCCGGCGTTTAATGAGCTGCTGATCAGCAGAGAGAAAGCCATGATTGATTTTAGGAAACACCATCTGATCAGTCAGGTGAGGTCAAAGGTTGAAGTTCAGAGATGAGAGAGTTGAGGAATAAGCATCAGAAGGCCCCAAGGAAGAAATAAAGATATACACATTAGACTCATAATGACCATTAAATAAAATGGAACCGGTGCTCATGACTGACAGACCCTCAGCCTCTCTGGAAGAAAGACAGCTTTGAAATTGAATGAGTCTTTTGATTAGAAATGAGTCCCTTGTGTACCCCATCATTTGGATGTCGTTTTTTTTTTGGGGGGGGGGTTGTCTTTTAGTGCATCCACTTCCAGAAGCAAGTGACCCAGAATGACCTTGCATTCTACACCTCGAGTAGAAGGTCTACAGACAGAGCACTAGTTCCAGTTCCGTCAGATTTGTCAACCAGCATAATGTGGCACGAACCAGGTATTGATGCCCCAAGCTTAGAGTCCTTAGAATTACTTAATTGGCTGGGAAAGCATCACAGAGCATTGGAATGTATATGAATCCAGCCATGGACATGAGGCAGCCTCCTAGGAAGCCACGCCTGTGATTGTCACTGTACATGTTTAACTTCATCCTCCTCCTCATGAATGCTCAGGAGGTTCTCACTTAGGCCATAACACTGAACTCCCTGACACACCTGAGGTTCCAGGTCCCCAACACAGTCCCCTGGCATTAGGAGCAGAAGCTGGAACAACCCACGGATGGCTCTTGTTCACTCTTATGCTGATTGTGCCTCTGACTGAGTAAGCATGCATATCATCCACAAACCTTGACGGTGAGGATCTGATTACTGTGCAGGGCAGCAACTGTGGGAAAGCCTGGCAGGCCCTAAGGACGTGGCACAACACCAAAACAATACGACACAAAACGTCACACAGACATTTCACTGGTAGACAAACAAAGTCGGGTGCATGCATAAAACCTCCCCTTCCCGCTCAGGTTCAGAGCACACTTCGGCGTATTAGACACAGGAGGCTCCCAAGTCAAACAGCCATTCCCTAAGGCACGGAATGGCGAGGCTGCAGACTCATTGTGGTGGGATCTGCACGGATTCTAGTATTCGGTTTGCAGCGCTTAGTATTTTTGGAAGCTTCTTTTTAAAGGGTTAGTACAAACGAGATAACTGCAGACATTGTTATGAGAACATTCTGCCCACTGGTATTCTGTTTACAAATTAGGACATATAATACATATAATACACATATTAATTCTTTTATTAACAACAACAGTGAACAGAATGTTATTGTCAGATTGGAAATACTCTTCAGAACAAACACAGTTCACCACATACAAAAAGTGTTACCACCCAACAAATCAAAATTCTTCTCTCTGCTCATGTGATGGTTTTTGGGTCTGCCCTGTTTTCAGGAACTTTCGTGAGGTGGTTGATGGAAATCTGTCTCTTATAACATGTGTATTTCATGTCAGGGTGGTTTACAGTCACACTCCACAGTAACCACTTCTGTCACATAACTTTTCCAGAAGAAGTTGACAGACCACACAACCCCATAAAACAGAAAAGTGGCTCGGGATTCCTTAGACAAGGAGAATGGGGGAGATGTTGCAGGGACCCAGACTGTAGCAACTGGGATAAAGCTTCCTCACAGTGTTACCAATTGGGGAAATCTGAAAGAGAAATTTTGCCTTTGTTCCATTTCCTTTTTAAAAACATTTGAAATTGGAGTCTTTTATTCCCTTTAAAACTATAAGACATGTTTACTGTATAAGTTAATAACAGCACAGCAATGGATAGTTTCAGTTTCCTCCCTGTTTGTCCTACCCTTCTGTTGAGGATATGTGTGTGTGTGTGTGTGTGTGTGTGTGTGTGTGTGTGTGTGTGTGTGTGTGTATGTTAGCAAAGGCCAGAGAGTTGCTAGGTTTTTAACCTTATCAGTTTATTAGTGGGTATTTTCTCTTCATTTTCCTGATGTTGGGGATATGCTTTTTTTTTAGATAATCAATAAACTTAGGTTTGTAGCATGAAGACGTGCCTTAGTCCTATTGATTCATCCTTTGCTTCTCATTGTTTAGTGCTCTGAGTTCTCAGGAAGGCGTGCAAAGGAAACCCTTGCACCAGATCTACTCTGATAAGGGTATAAAGTGGCTGGGCAGGTTTGAAGTGACCCGGGTCTTCTTTTCCTTCTCCCTAAGTGAAAGTCCTCTAAGCATCGACTCTCCACAAACTCAGAAATGCCCCAAGTTGGAAAACAGATGTGTACAATTTGCTTTTGTTTTTACTATGGAATATGAGTTTAAAATGTTATTAGATGGTAATGTGCCAGGATCTTTCCATCTGTGACTCATTAGCCCTATATTACACAGTCAGAATTTTATATATAAACCTCATATTTATGTAACAGAGAACAAAAGCAGATACAAACAAGAAGTCTAGGAGGGATCAGAATCTTGATTAGTGGTGATAAATCATACTGTCACTTGAAGCATGATTATCTAACACAATAATTTTAAATTAAAAGCCTTTTAACAGCACACATGGTAGGCCTTTCAATCGTTCTGAAATTTCAACATAGAAATAAGTCACTTCTTGTATTCCTATCTGAGCAGGACCAGATTGTCGCTTGGTCATATCTGCAGCATAGTCACACAAAAGCACTAAATGTGTCACTTCTTGGTTTGAGCTCCAGTGAGATCTACAGAGGGGAGGAGCCAGGCAGTTCTGGCCTGGACAGTTAGTTCCCAAGTCTCAAACTGGAAATCTGCATTGGAAGAAATTTAACTTGCTTTGTTAGATGACGTATCTCAGTCATGTTAACTGTGAAATGCTACCACGTGGGCTTAGAGCCGACACCAAAGACTTCTGAGATGACCTCGGAGGTTATCTGTAGCAGAGTAAAAGCAACACATGTAAGAAGGGCCCTGTTAAATTCTAGCAAGAATCCTAAGACTCTATTGTTTTCAAAATGATGGGGGGGGGGGAATGACTCTAAAAGTTGTTTAAGTTAGTTTTAATTAATATTAAACAATTAAAACATTTTACATGACAGCTTTATTGTAAAGAATTTTCAAGTATAAAACATTATGTGGTAAAATTCACCCAAGTTTTTTTTTAATGTAAAATGAATATTGTTATACTTGGGAGTGGAATGCATATGTCTTAAGACATATTGCCATTTAGTGGTGATAACGAACCCCATCTTAGAGAGTTTCATCTACCTTACAGGCAGACCGTGTGCCTCTTACAGGACGGTGCCAAAGCATTGCTGCTAAGACCTTGACTTAAGACCTGGCTGTCTATGACAGTGACTTCTAGGCTTTCCTAGCTGTCCATGCAGAGGTGCACTCTTTCCTCTGCAGGCCACTGTCCCATCATTAGTCATAGCCCTTTTGAATAAGTGAAACAGAGAGATTTCACTTTGGCTTTATGTCTCACACAACTTGCCTGGTACACAGATGGTTGAAGCGGGTGTGGGAAAAAAAAAATGTATCTCAAAAAAAACACGGTGAAAGAATCCAGAAATAAGCAGAAATGCTGGAATAATTTGAACATATTTCACCCCTAAATATTTTGGATTCTTGAGAAACTAGATGTACAAGTGTGTAACAGAGGCTGCTTTAAGCATCCCACATTTGCACCTGAGAGGGCAGACACTCATGACACTCATCTTTGCATCTTCCTGATACACAATAGGTACCATCTCAGCCACCGCCCCACCAGCATCAATGAGGGCTGCCAACCCCACTGTCGCCCTCTAGAGAATAAACATGCCCTGTGCCCAAAGGGACTTACACAAAAAGGTAAGTCATGAGAAATGCTCCTAACTACTTGATAGCCATAAATTCAAGATGTCATTATCATTTTTATTGTGTATCTGCTAATGACAAGTGTTACATCATTACGCTTTAGGGAGAAATTTGGTTTTGTCAAACATAGCCAATAAAGCATCAACAGTGAGAAATGTAATCCTAGATGTCTACTTTCAGATTTTTAAATTTTCTGGTTTGTGTTTATGATCATTTATTTCTATTTGTTTTTATTGTCTAATACTAGAGAGTTCACAAACTGACAACAACATTTAAGAAGCCTTTGTTGATTGCATTCTATGTAGCACTCACTGTGCCACATCCTGGGGATTCAGTGGCAAGCAGGATCCCAAGCTCACAACATTTAACATCTAAGAAAGTAGAAGAAAATAGGTAGGCAGGAACCATATGAACCATATGAGTTGATAAGAACTAATATGATAAGTACTGACAAGAATGACTTTGGTTTAACTACTATGAAGCTAAAGAAGACACTGAATGAAAGAAATTTGCTGTTAAATTGCTCCATAATGTAGTATATATTATAACCTCTGTCCAAAAAGGAAACCCAACCAGAAGGTAAGAGGTTCGAAGAGTTCCCTGAATGACCGTAGAATATGCCAGTAGGAGCTGGTGAGTACGTATGTTGGTGGTAGGCTGGGGAGACCAGAGCTAGGCACTGTGGCAGACATTTGTCATTCTAGCATATGGGAGTCTGAGGCAGGGGGATTCCAAGCTGGAGTTTAAGGCTAGTCAGGTGGGGCTATTTGGTAAGACCTCACCTCAAAACTAAGTAAGCAAGCAAGTGAGCAGATAAATCTTAAAAACAACTCGATGTGCAGTAAAGAGGAGCAAAGTTTGCACCTACTACCCAGGTGAGGTTGGCACAGGGGCAGAGCTGAAGACAGACCTGTGGAAGATGTTGTCATAGTCCAGTTGCAGAACTGTGTCCTAGGACCGGGGGAGGGGCCAATCAGTAGTTTCCAGGACTATTAAAGAAGAATTCTCAGAATTTGTTACTTCCTTTAAGACAAGAGTGAGAACAGGGATTGGAGAATGTTCATAGGTCTGAGCTTGAATAACAGAAAGGTGGTGGAGGGGATCCAGAGGACAAGTGGGGGTTTGAGGCAGATGTTGCCACAGATGTTGAACTGACATGGATTTGCTAAACTTGAACTGAGTGATGGAATGGTAATTGGATATGTTCATGGAAGAAGAGAGAGGGTTGTGTGTCCACGTAAGACGTGGGAGCA